ACTGCCAGGTCGCTGAGCACAGTGTGGTAGGCAGTCATAACATCCTCAGAAACCACAGAAAACTCAGGAGAGCTTGTGCTTACAAAATGCGAAGCAAAGAAGACTATTTTCACATGTTAAAACAGCATCTTCTCAATCTAGGCAGATGAACGTGCGCTGTCAGAGTCACTCAAAACAAATCCATCAAAGGTCTAGGACGCGTTCTGTATCACTAACTTATAGAAGTAGCAAATCTCACGAACAAGTGCAAAACATAGCCTGCTGAATTCTCAGAAGTCCTTAACGATCAAAAATAAAACACAATAAAGGCCGCATGCTGAAAAGAGGCTAAATGCCCTGGATGGGTATATGAAGGAGGGCCTTCTTCTTAATTTTATTTCCCAATAATCATTGTTGGATTATAATATGAGTTAGAAATGAAAACTATCATGCTGGCTTTGGTAGCACATACACCAAAATTGGAATGAAACAGAGAAGATTAGCGTGGCCCCTGCACAAGGATTACATGAAAAAAAAAAAAAACCTACCATAATTGGAAACTGCTTATTATAGCAGGTATATGCACTGAACTCTATACTTCAAAAGCCCAAATACAACTTATGTTCTGATGCTACTCAAAGAACTTCACCAAAACATTGTCTATAAATGCAATCAAATTTTCAGTACATGAAAAAGTAAAGCTACAGAGAAATGATTTAAGAGACAGGGATAGAATCGCTAACATTACATTGGTAATGTTTTACTTTCCTTTGCCAAAGTAGTTGATTTCATACTTACTCTGGAAAAGTTTTGCAATAAATCACTGGCCTGCTTAGACATTGGTTCAAAGAGCTGACACAGGGCCGTTCAGGGTCTCCTCTTAGGCAGGACACTCTGCTGCAACACCCATCTGTCCCCCAGGGAGCACCACAGTTTCCCAACGCTCTATTTCCTCCACACACACGATGGAAAAATGCAGCATGCAAGAACATACAGCAGGATGAAGGAATAAGGTTAATTTCTAGCTCCTGCTTTGTGCCTTTCTCCAGGTGCTGAATTTCCACAGTAAATGATGTCTTAGTCTATTTTGTATTTCTGTAACAGAATACTACAGATTGAGTCATTTATTAAAAGATGAGAACATTTATTTCCTATAGCTACGCAGGCTGTGCGTCCCCGAGCAGAAAAAAGCAGCCCAAACAGCGCAGGCAGAAAGGCTGTTGGCTGTAGTGTCAGATTAATTTCTGAGGCAGTGTCTTCAGGGCTCTATTTGGAGAGCAGAGAGTCTCAGGTCAAGGGTGTCGAGATTCCCACAAGGTCTTCCTTCCTATAAGCCAGTTATGTAGATCCACTTCTGCATGGAGTCTGTGTCAGATAAACCTATGATCCCCTTCCACTCCCATGGATGTCTGTGCTTTAACAATGGTATGGAGTTATTTTGGAAGCCTGTTTGTATTCTACTCTGACCTTTGGATGGCTCCTGGACAGTCATGCTGGGATGGCTCTAGACGTCTGCAGAAGCATTAAGGTGACAGTGTGGGATTTATGCAGTGCGTTCCCCAGTATTCAGCTCCATCCCATACTACTCGGGTCTCCTCCATGTCCTTTGGTGGGACACTGGTGGTGGGGCACTGCTGAAGCATGGCGGTGTCCTGCTCCAGTGCCCTGAGGCTCGGAGGTACACCTGAAGAGCGGGACAGACCGCAGCCCTGGCCTCTACCTGCCAAGGGCACAGATGGCCACAGGGCCACAGAGCTCAGTTCCTCTGCCTTTGGTGAAACAAATGGTACTTGCTGCCACAGACAAGCTGGGCATGTGTGCAGGCCGCAGGGAGGGAGGGAGGGCGCATTCATGAACTGCTCACTTGCCAACGAGTAGGGTTGTGGCACGGATGAAATAATCACTGTTGTGTGTGTAACCATGGTGGGTGGGTTCCCAGTCCGGGAGTGCAACTCCCACCATCAGGATAAAGATAAGATTCTCTCCTGTAACCATCAGTCAGGGCTTGAGATAAATTATGCTTGCTGCTCGCAGTGAGGGGCATATGGGAATACATATTACGCACTGCCGTATATGCCCTGGTATCAGTCTGCTAGCTACAGTCGTCCTCTCATGAACTCTGGGTTGTCTCCAAAGGCCATCTTAGCTTTGACATCTACAGTCCCACAGGCTGAGAGCAGGAGTCAGCCCCTTAGTCCTTCCCACCCTCACCCTGTTCCCTAGTTGTCTGTTTTGATGCAGAAGAGTTCTTGTAGCCAGAGAACGAATGGCATTTTCAGAAGAGGATTGAGTTTGGGTGCTCATGGATGGCCGTGCGAGTGGGCTGCTATTTGTATTCAAGGTGATGTCAGTACTAAATGTGTTTCTGGGTCTAAGTGCATCTACCGTGGGCTCCATTGGCAAGGACAATACAAATGGAAGTGGCTTCCAAATGGTTAACTTTTTAAAAAATTTCACACATTTAGTACAGAGTCTCACTATGCAGTTCAGACTTGTAGTGATCCTCCTGTTTTCAGCTGCTCTAGTGCAGAGATTACAGGCATGTGCCGCCATGCCCAGACTCATAGCCATCTCAATGTGCCCAAGGGAGGGGCTGGCGTGGCATGCAGTACAGGGGATCGAACCCTGGTCCCTGTGCTTGCCTAAGCAGGTGCTTAGTCCACTGAGCTATCTCACCGACCCTTCAATTGGTTATTTTTGACCCAAGGGTTACTGAGGCTTAGAGTAGCGAGCAGTCATTTTTGGACTTGGTGGGACAGTCCCCTGAGGTATGGCTGCAGAGGCATCGCTGAGAGAGTTTCTGCTCCGACAGAATATGGCCAGGCATGAGAGGATGGTAGTGAAGGCTCCCAGCGCATGGAGGCATGGGCAAAGGTGTGTCCTTATGAAAAAAGGCCAGATGTAGTCTTAGTGGCAGTTTCTAGACCAGAACCACTTGGAGAAGGGGATACTTTGCTGTTTTGTTCTGTTTTGCTTTGTTTGTGCACAGGGTCTCACTACACAGCTCAAGCTCATAGCGATCTTCCTGTTTCAGTCTCCCCAGCGCTGGTAATACAGGTGTTCACCACCACGCCAGTCTCAGTGGCCAGCTCGGCCTGCCCAGGACAAGAGCAGCAGCACATGTGGTAACGGGGATTGACCCCAGGTCCTCGCCCTTGCCTAGATAGGCACTGAGGCCGCTCAGCTAGCCCTGCAGCCCCACTACCTGTGTCTTCACACTGTTGGTAAAGTTCATACTTTCAGCCCACAGAGCTTCCGCACCGAGCTGAGGATGATGTAGGACTTCTGACCTATGTCTCCAGAGGGGGAGCCGGGCTACCACACCTCACGGGAGCAGCTCACAGGAGATCTGCTTCCCTCCAGGAGCCAGGGTCAGCTTCCCAAACCACTTGCTGGAGAAGCAGCTACAGAAGGCAGACTCCCCTAAAGATGAAAGAGGAGGAAATCTCTCAGGGGTACACAAGGCCGAGGAGAAGCACCCGACCCGTGTTTTCCTCCACCAGCTGGAGGAGGTCAGCTTAGCTAGTGCCTATCTGCCCCGCTGTCTTCACTTTTTCCCCCTTGAACCCCAGTGGGCTGAGACAGTTCGCTTCAGTGTCCTCCTTGGCTACTTGGTGTTGCCCTCCCCGGCATGAGTCCAGTCAGGAATGCGGTGGCCTCGCCCGCCCTGACCACTTCCATTGATGCTGCTGCATTTTTGAGAACAGAGAGCACCACGGAGTGCCAAGGTCAGGAAGAGACAGATGGACTCCTTATTTACATGCCTGATAGTCACAGCAAGCCTTCCGGAAGACTCCCTGCTTTAAATCCTCACCCTCACTGAAGCCAGCCTGTAAGCCGCTACACACCCGCATTCCCCAGCACTCAGGGCACGGTCCAGGAGGGCACTCGCCTGCATACCAGCTCGCCTGCTCGCAGCACACGCCCTGTTAAAATAAGGTTTGCCTTGGTATTCCTGAAAAGATGACGTATCTAAAATGCTTTTTTTCCCCTTCAAGATTGAATAAAAACATAATACTAATTTTAGTACATTCTTTGTGCTACTCTGTTCAGATTTTATCTCTTCAATAATGTTTCCCCAACTATTTCTTTTAAAATTTCAAATAATACCACTCACATATTCCTATTTTTTCAAAACTTTTTCTACAAGAATTTAACCATCCTCTACCGTCACATTTATTTTCCTTATTTATCCCATTTTCTGCCCTCAGTAGAATAAAATCCTTACAAAGATAGGATTTTTCTCATTTTTATTCCCTAATGTAGTCCTAGAACCTAGAACATATATTGGCCTCTATTAATTACAAATAAATAATAAAAGCAGAGGCATTGAACTGAGTACTGGGTATGGACTCCTGGAGTTTGAGAAGAGGACGCGGCTAGGACATAATTTCATTCATCATCAGCAAAGATGGCATTAAAATTAGAGAACAGATCAGTAAAAATTAAATTTTCAGGAGAACTTGCCCTCACAATATTTTTTGGAAAAGCATAAAGATAAAAACAATGCACTCTGCAGAGAAAGTATAGTGCTATGAACTTACACACTTCATCAAAATGTATAAAATGGAAGTATTAAAATGATACACACAAGTAACATATTTCAGGACTCTGAGTCCATAATTGTTAATTCCTTCTAATTGTCTTTCACCTTTCTCATGTTCCAGGTCATCTTGTCACCTTAGTGACTGAAGGACAGGCTTGCCTTCTCATGCTTCTGTTTACCATCTGATCTGGAACAGCCACCATGAAGCACTGAAAGGGAGCCGAGCCGCACACTGCTCTTCCTGAAGTCCCGTCCATCCTCTTCATCCTCGGTGACCACTTCATGGCGCCAGTGCACGGCAGGACGTGCGGCACTGAATGGGATATGTACTTGCAAGCAAATGGAGACTCCAATTCACTAATAATTTGAAACCTATTCTGAAGCTTCTTAAATAAATAAATGCAGAGCCAAGGTCAGGCCACACCTCACTGAGAAACAGCCGTTAGAAGGCAGAACAGCCCTCAAAGCCCCTGCTGTCTGCATTGGTAGGAACAGACGTGAAAAGTGGAGAAAGTATAGTGAAATAACCACCGCCGCTCCTTGGAAAGCTGTCTTAATTGCACCCGGGCAGCTGCCCGTCCATGGCGCCCCTTAAATGGCACCACTCGTCAGCCCCAACAATTTGCTTTCAGCGTGATGAAAATACAGTTGGCTGGACAGGACCTCGCTTCAGAACAACCTAAAAGCTTTTGCAAATACCTTTAATGCATAGTCACAGCCACCACTTTCCAAAATGTAATATTTCATCACCTACTTTATGTAAATTCCTAAATTCTGCATTCCATATTTCAAGTATGTTTAAATCAAAGTTAAAGTCCTGGAAAAGCCAACATAATTTCACAGCAACAGATATTAGAGGCTGCCGACTCAGCAACAGAGGTGCTCGGCAGTCGACCTGAGCTGCACGAAATCTGAGTATCCGCAAGTATAAAGGGACGGAGACGAAGCTGAGAAAGAGTCAACACTGTGCAAAGGAAACAGAAGGAACCCAGAAGAAGAAAAATGACAGAG